CAAGGTACTTGTTTGAAATGTTAAGAGATTAATTAAAGTATATACATGCAGTGAGTGTGAAAAAGTGTACATAATATATGCCTTTCATCGATAACGGAAACATGACGTCATTATTTTTTGAAAGACTGTCAGAATTATTATTATAACAATGTGTAATTGAAATCATCTGAAGTAGATGATAATCACACATGCAATTCTTTGAAATAAGTATGTGAATAAATTAACATATGGAGTAATACTAATATCGTGACGTGTACAACAACAAATCTAAAATCTGAATATCAATGTGAAATAATTATTCGTCTTCAAAAATCAGATGATTATTTGGTTGTCTCTTGATAACTGCAAATAAAAACAGAAATATATATGTAGTTATGCATTCAGTCTTCAGTGAATCTACACATATAGGTTTACAAAATGTGATACATTAAAACCACAGAAATGTCTACCATGACGAAACTTACCATCTCTCGTCTCTTTCCAATAGTGGTATTAATTCACTCCACAGTTGACAATCTTCTTTTCGTAGTCCAGAATCAGATTCAAAGGTGGGAAACCTTAGGTACTGACGTCCCTGTGCCGTCTGCCGTGGCCAATATGGTACTAACTGTCCCTTGTTTGGATTCCTAAAATGGTCAAATATAGTATTTGTATAATTAAATCAAATAATCGATTATTATGTTCATAGCAACTCCTATTTTTATTAGCACTTTCCAATTTTTGAAGTTATCACGTGACCCTTACCCTGATTTAGCGAAATTCGCCCAATAAGCCATTATGTTTTCCGATAATTCAACCTCTTCATCAGTATACCCGTTTGCAGGATTCAGGGGCATGCCAAAAACGAACTGAAACATAAAGTAAGTCACAATTAATAGTTATAAATAAGTAAAGCCGACTGATATTATATGCGGGATTTCATTGTTTAGACCAGCGTCCCCTGGACGGTGTTAAACCGAGTCCTTTCCTAAAATTAAAGGCGAACATTTCAAAATACAATAGCCCAAACATGACTCCAAATGTATTAAAGCAGGCAAGGTAGTGTTGCAGGTACAACAACATGGCTCAACTCATACACAGATAGATAGTCAACAGATGCTATCTAGTAATTCATTATTATCTTAGACACCGAGCCTACCTATTAAGTACTGGGTAACAGTCACGTGTATGGTGTATACGGCAGTTCGAACATTCACAAAGTGTGTTAAATTCTGTGAAATGAGATTGTCTTACCTGGATATCATCACCATGCATTATCCCCATCCATTGTGGCCATGGATTCTGACTGTCTCTGATATCCAGCTTATATGTGTACACGTTTACATTTTCCTGCGCGTATTTATGAGCAAAATCAACTGTTGGACATATGAACTGACGGTCGCCAACGACATCGTCTAAGGCATCACGGTTAGCCACACTGTCGTAGAGCATATTCCAGTGAGAGTAGTGGTCTTTGATGGCAGATCTTGAACACATATTCAAATCATAGTTCACAACATCAACGTTGCCTAGGTAGTTATCATATGTCTGATAACTGGGTGTGTCTATTTCATATCCTGGTATTTGGTACAGAATAAAATACGTGCCTTCATCTCCATTAACGCCTGCCATGATACTGGCTTTCTTGAAGTGGCCGTTGCGAATCAACCTTTTTGGTTCGTCCGTTAGAAACTTGTTATCAACGACGGGAACCCATGGGAACTCGTTAAAATTACCAGTTACCCATTCGTTAGCACTCAATGTATCAGCAGGAATACAACGAAGACAATCGACGAAGTCCCTATCTTCGAAATCATCACAGCCATGAGATAGGCCTAGAGTTTCAGATCTCTGCCTGGACTGTGCATGAGTCATTACTGCCCAGTTGGCATCAGGCGCACCACTCTGCAATATGGCGCGATTGAATAATGGCTCACTCAATGGTGAAAGTAGATGTAGGCCTACACTTGCTGCTCCAGCGCTTTCTCCAAAAATGGTCACCATGTTGGGATCTCCTCCAAAAGCACCAATGTTAGATTTCACCCATTTCAAGGCAAGAACTTGGTCATACATTCCATAGTTTCCTTTTAAAATACGTAACAGAAACAAATGTCATTTCATTGGTGTTGTGCGTTGTACACACATGTTGAGAATATTATGATAGAATTCAGTTCAAGTTGACACACACTAACATACTAACACATATCCCCACAGAGTAAACACAGACTAAACCATACCACAAGAGTCAACACAAACTAACCCATACATCAGAGTCAACACATACTAACCCATACCACTAGAGTCAACACATACTAACCCATACCACC